GGAGAGGAGTGACAAGTGGAGTGCCTCAAGGATCTGTCCTGGGACCTGTTTTGTTCAACATCTTGGTCACTGATTTGGACGAAGGGATAGAGGGAATGCTTATTAAATTTGCAGATGATACTAAATTGGGAGGGGTATTAAATATGGTAGAAGACAGAGTCAGGATACAGGATGATCTTGACAGGCTGAACAACTGGGCTAAAACAAATAAAATGAATTTCAATGGGGATAAACGTAAAGTTCTGCATTTAGGTAGGAAAAATCTTATGCATAATTATAGGATGGGGAAGACTTGTCTTGGCAGAAGTATGTACAAAAAGGATCTAGTGGTCTTAGTAGAACATATACTGAGCATGAGTCAGCAGTGTGATGTGGTTGCTAAAAAGGCAAATGAGATGTTGGGCTACATCAACAGAAGCATAGTGTCCAGATCATGTGAACTAATGGTATCGCTTTACTCTGCTTTGGTTAGACCTCACCTAGAATATTGTGTTCAGTTTGGGGCACCACAATTTAAGAAAGATATAGATAAGTTGGAACAAGTCCAGAAGAGGGCAACGAAGATGGTGGGGGGTCCTATGAGGAAAGGTTGAAGGAGCCAGGTATGTTTAACCTGGAGAGGAGATGACTGAGAGGTGATATCTTCAAGTACCTGAGGGCCTGTCAGATAGAGGATGGTGCTGAGTTGTTTTCTGTTGCCCCAGAAGGTCAGACCAGAACCAACGGGTGGAACTGCCTGACAGAGCGGTTCCTCAGTGGAACAGGCTTCCTCGGGAGGTAGTGGGCTCTCCTTCTTGGGAGGTTTTCAAGCAGAGGCCAGGTGGCCCCACCTGACAGCCATGCGGATTGTGTGAACTCGGGCAGATCATGCTGAGAGGGAGGGCAGGAGGGGTTCCCTCAGTGCTTAGTCCTCGTGGCCCTTCCTTACATGCCCAGGGAAATGCTGATCACCACTTTGGGGTTAGGAAGCAATTTTTCTCCAGGCCAGTTTGGCTGGAGATCCTGGAGTTTTTTTGCCATCTTCTGGGCGTGGAACAGTGGGTCACTGGGGGTGTGGGGGGGAGGTATTTGTGAATTTCCTGCATTGTGCAGGGGGTTGGACTAGATGACCCTGGAGGTACCTTCCAACTCTATGATTCTACTGGTTTTATTTCATTGATTTCTGTGCTGTTGTTTTGTATGTAGTATCCTGGCCCCGGGGGTGTGTGTGTGTTTCTAGTTCAATAATCCCCCCAGAGTCTTAACCAAAGGCAGACTATAAATGAAGTGAATAAATAGAATCTGCAGGCCTGGAATCCTGACTGGGTCCTGGGCTCCAACCTGCCCCTCTGCTGAGCACTCTGCAAGGAGGAGCATCCATGGAGTGGCTTATGTTGGCCATGCGGCTTAGCCCCGTCCTCTTGAAAGTTAGGAAGGCGAATGAGGTCTGTCCATACTGCTCCCAGACGTGGTCGTGAGGGGCTGCGCTGGCTTCTGTCCCCAGGTGCAGCAGCACAAAAGCTTCTCCCCTTCGCCTTCCACACCCTCCCTCCACCACCACACACTCCCCATCCGAAGGCCTCCCCCCCCCTCAGGTGACGCCCCCCCTTTCTCCCTTGCGGCCCCTGGCGCCTGGAACTGCTGGCGTGACAAGCGCCACCTCTCGGGCCGCCCTTGACCTAGATGCAGACTCCCCCCCTCCCCCCCCAGCAGGTTGTCCCTTTGTGGGTCTCCATTGACAGCAGAGGCACACAGTGAAAACAGACCTGTCGTGTTAGTAGACCAAACAACAAGCTGCCTCTTGGTCTGGCTGGGATCCAGTTGCTGGCCCATCCAGTGGCATCAGCTGCTGGCCACGGCTAGGAGCCCACGAGCCAAGAGCTCCAGGCCACCGGCTCTTGCCTTTCGACCAGCCCCTCTGCCCACACATGCCTGGGTGTTAGAGGCACGCCTGGGACAGGAAAGGAAGTGCAAACACTCAGCAGGCTCTTCAAAGAGGGCCACAATGTTCTCACCACATTTGGTGTCAGACAGGTTTTCAACAAGGTTTTTTGGGTTTTGATTGGTGGTCATCGGCACTAAGCCTCAGAGGAGGAGGAGGAGGAGGAGATGAAGAACCCTGCCCTTCACTCAGAGTCCCAGAGCGGCTTACAATCTCCTTCCCTTCTCCTCTCCACAACAGACACCCTGTGAGGTAGGTGGGGCTGAGAGAGCTCTGAGAGAACTGTGACTGACCCAAGGTCACCCAGCTGGCTGCATGTGCAGAAGTGGGGAATCAAACCCGGTTCTCCCAGATTAGTCTGTCGCTCTTAACCACTACAGGAGGGGAAGGCTTCAGCCTCTATGCCCAGCTGTTGGCCATCCAGAGGAAGTGGCTGGCCATTGCGTGAGACAGGAGGCTGGACTAGATGAGCATTGGCCTGATTCAGCAGGGCTCTTCTGATAACAACCAAGTCACAAGATGTCACAGTCCTGCGGTACACTGCATGGGTCAGGCCGCACCTGGAGCCCTCCTGTGTGCAGTTCTGGAGGCCTCACTTCAAGAAGGAGGTGGACAGAATGGAGCGTGTGCAGAGGAGAGGGACGAGGATGATCGGGGGCCTGGAGACCAAGAAACCTTCTGAGGAAAGGCCGAGGGACTTCTTGGGAATGTTCCGTCTGGAGGAGAGGAGGCTGAGTGGGGGACACGATGGCTCTCTTGAAGTCTTTGAAGGGCCGTGTCCCTTGGAAGAGGGCAGGGAGCTGTTCCTCTGGGCAGCGGAGGAGAGGACTCGCAATCATGGGTTTAAATTAAGGGCAGGAAGGTCCCGGGTGGATCTTAGGAAAACCTTCCTGACAGAGTTGTGCAGCAGTGGAATCAGCTCCCTGGGGAGTGGTGAGCCTCCCCCTCCCTGGCCCTCTTTGAGCAGCATCTGGACAAGCCCTTCTTGCCAGGAATGCTCTGGGCTGATCCTGCACTGAGCAGGAGGGGTTGGACTAGATGGCCTCTGTGGCCCCTTCCCAGCTCTGTGTGATTCTGTCCTATGATTCTGATGTTCTCAGCTTCTTCCCAGAAGGCACCCAGCAGCAGCAGCGGCAGCACTTGGTCTGCTCAGATCCGCTGCTGGCCCCTGGCCACAGTGGGGGGGGGGGGGTTTTCAAGGCA